CAAATGACTGAAGTTTGACAGATATATGATTTCTTGTTTTGCTATGCTTTTGTTGTCTGGCAAGTAAATTTGGTGCATTGGAAGCCATGGAAACAGTTGAAAATCAAAGTTTAGCACATAGTGAAGCATGTAATGTGTCCCTGGGGAGTGGGCATTGGTGTAAGAATTCAATACAGTAGATTGCAGATGAATTACAATAAGAATGACTGTTAAATCTACTTTGAAGTCTTATTCTGTCTCTTGTTGGTGTAAAAATTAGGTAGTTCAGCCTGTCAGGAGTTGGGTGTTCTACCTTAATAGCAGGTCGTGTTATCAGTTGGAGAACACTGTGTGGTCCTCTTGCCAGCTGGAGTTCTTGTAGTATCCTGAGCATGCTACCTGCCTTGCTTTCTATAGCCAGAGTAAATATTAGCATACAAATTCTATCTCATCTAGCTTCTTACTATATCTGTTATATATGCATATCATGCTGCTCTGCAGTTCAGCACTGAGAGAAGTTGAGACAAAGAATTTTTTCTGGTTTTCATTTTCCTAATCAGAGCTTTCAGACATACTGCTGTATTATGTTGCAGCCACTGCAAACAATTAGTACGTGATTAAGATGTTTAAAGGAATACTGAAGGAAGTATTTTTAAATGAGCTCAAAATCATAATTTGCTAGGTGTTTTGCCATGTATTATTACAGTAGTAGCATTACATATTAGTAATATTATGTATTAATGCTACTTCTCACTCAGCCTTCGTTTTTTGAATAATGTTCAACCCATATTTCAGTTTTGGAAGTAATTTGTCTGCAAGCTTTGTGATCTCATCCCTCACCCCCCACTGTTGGGTTTGTTTGTTTTTTTTATTTCCTGATGGTGAGATTCACATGTTACTGCCCCCTAGCCGTTGCTTAGTGTCTTGGATCGCTGGAGGTGTGTGCTAGGCTGCTAAAAAGCAATAATGACAGCTTAATTAGTAAAAATGTATTATGTTTCAGTAATAAGATGCTTGTTATGAGTAGTAGTTTTGCCTGATCTGTCCTTTGCACGGTTTTAGGAGAGCCCTGCTTTCCCTCTCCACTTCAATAAAACAAATGTTTGCAACAGCTCTTTGTGTATTTAGAGACCCGCAGCAAGGCTGCAGGTTATTACTTCAACCAGTAGTGTAGATTCTTTGGTAAAATAGCTCCCCAAACCCAGTGAGAACTTAAAAGTACTTGAATGTATGATAACTAAATCTGTGGGGAATTTCTTAGTCCAAGTTAAATAGAAGCAAAGGCCATGAATACATGTAAGGCATGATTGGAGCACAATAGATGGTGGCTGGCAGTCCAAGATTTAAATTTATCTGCAAGCTAGAAAGTTGCCAGCAGGATTTTGTGAACTTCCTTTACTTATATCTCTTCCTTTATATAGTTTGGTTAGCTCAAGAATAAACACTTTCTCCTTAATCGGAGCTATTATTCACAGCATAGAAATAAGCTAACTTCCCTTAATCGATAGACCTCTGCTATGGTTTCTAGCTAGTTATTTTGTTTTGCTTCTATGCATTTCCCTGACTGCTTATTGGGTTTTAGTCATCTGTGGGCTTTTTTTAAAAGGACAAAATATGTATTATTGAAAAGCCTTTTAAAAAATCTAGTTTCAGCAGTGCCATCCTCTGGCTAGAGGAAGTCGGAGCTGTTATATGGATACCACAGTTGTGTGGCCATGTATTTGTTTCTGATATTATCTATTTAAGCTTTCCTGGCTGTTTTTTGACAAAAATATTTTTGTATTAAAGGTTATGTCATCTTCTATTTAGCATTACACCATATTATTGACCAGGGATGGCAGGATATTAAGAGATGTGACCTTCAGGAACTTCCTTTAGTAGTTACACTTAGTTTCAAGGGGACAGCATGCTTTCTAGCTGAATGATCCCAGCTGGCACATAGCTGCTATGCCACTCTGCCTTAAAGAAGATTGGTAGAAGTTATGATGCTGCATATAAAGCTGGTGTCGTGCACTGGAGCAGCTTTGCATTGCTATCTTTCTGGACTCATTTCTTCAACTGGTGTGAGCCCTTCTTTTTCTCTTACGACACTGAGAGTTTGTGGAGTTTGACAGACAGAACTCAGGTTGAAAATGAAAGCATTTTCTTCTTGGAGAACTGGAAAGTGCAGGGGAGATAGCAGCACTCCATCTCTAATCCTGCTGCAATCTCAATTTTCCTCTGCTAACTAGCTTCAACCATCGTGTTGCATAGGTCTTATGTATTCTGCTGCTGAAGTCTTCATGATGCTTTAGGCTTTGCAGCTGAGTGCATCTAACTCTTGCTCTCCCCCATGCAGCGTTACTAAGCTAGCATATCTCATGGTAAGTGGCACTACTGCTTGATAGCTTTTATCAGAAACATAGGCCATGCTTGCAGTCTCTTGTGACCAAAGAATGACCCTCTAGCACAAGACCTTCCTGCTGCTTTCTTCCAACTCAGGAAAAGGAAGTGCTTAGCAGAGTACTTGCAATATATTGTTTCACTGCCTCTTGAGAAAAGAGCTTACTGAGTTCTTCTACTGAAATGAATTGCAAAGCAGCTTGCCTATGTTGTGTGCTGCTACGTAACTCCCTTTAATTTTGAGATCTTGGTCTTCTGACTTATGTGTGCTTTTACAGTATTTAGAGTGTAGTCAGTAGGTTTATTGGAAGCTTATTACTATTAATCAGTAATATTTTGTCTGTCAGTATTGTCTATGTATTAAAAACTTACAAGCTCATGGGAAATTGCTTTACAAATAGCGACTCTGGTTATTCTTTGGAACAGTGCCTTTTCATGGCCAGTTATTGCAGTGCTTTCAGTCACATCTCCCAGTACATGCTTTCACCTGTTACTGCATTGGCTCGCAATGCTGTCATTGCTATCAGCAGCCTTTTCACTTTTTTTTTCGTTTCAGATGTTAAATTCAATTGTAGTAAGTATTCAGTGCTTGGCAGAGTAAGGATGCTTTGTTCTGATATTAAGGTAACAGCGAATTTGTACTTCAAGGTAAAATGGTATACTTTATAACGTGCAGAAACGTTTTCCTGAAGAGATTTCTTGCATTTTATGAAAGATCTGTAATGGGAGGAAAATGATTTTTGTGGCTCGTGGTTACGTGCTAAGTCCTGCTAAAAGTCTTGCAAGAATTTTCTTCTCAGAAGTTTTTTGTTTGTACTTGAAGTTCATGTGTGTTTGCCAGATCCTTGGGGATCAGAAGCTGTAGGAGAGCAGCTTCCTTAGTGATGCAGAATTCATGGTTTGGAGAAGCTTCTTCTCAGGCAAGCTATGGATTTTTAGATTACTTGTATAATGTTTGGAGTGTAGGCTCTCTGATTTTTGATACAGCTTTCTATCTATCCACTTTGCTTTTCATATGCATGGTTTCCTGAAGGGAGTTTAGTAGAAAATAAAATGGATGCAATTAGTTTTTCTGATAATAGAATTTTTTTAGTCTGGACAACTTTTAGGTACTGGGGACCAATATCTAAAAGCCATTTGTAATCTTATATTCCAGGCTGAAATGATACTGGTCTGCTTTTCGTGTGTTGTGCTGCTCTCAATTGCCTTTTTTTTTTTTTTTTTTTTTCTCCACCATACAAGTATAGAAAAATACATTAGTATTATTGATTTGGCTCTGTAGAAAAGTCATCAAGGAAGAAAGGTTTCTGTTTCTATCAGAAACAATGCTTTGTTCTGCCTTGCCAGCCTTTTCTATTTCAGGTCATCTGAGCAGCAACCCCATTCAGTAGTAAGAATCAAGGTCATATTTTATTCAGTACAAGAAAATGGAAAATGTGGCAGGAGCCAAGGTGCTTGTTTTGAAATGGTTGTCTTTAGCTCTTTCTGCTACAGATGCAGTCAATGGAAAGGGATAAAGGTGATAACAAAAACCATGAGAAATTTACTGTTCATTATTCATGTATTGTTGAAGGCTTAAGACTGTAAAGGATTTTGTTATTGTCTCTTAAGTCTTTCAAGTTTTTTCAGTTATGATTACCTGGAAGGAAATTAGATGAATCAGTTAAGGAAAAGATGAGGATTTTCTTATTAACAGAATACTTGGACATAATTTATTCTGTGAGGTGCTCATGGACGTATTTGCTAATTAAATAATCTGTCATTATTTGAGTATGGTTTAGACTTCTGTGGTTTCAATGCATTTGGCCTCATAGGCAGCCACAGACTTAACTAGCTCTGTTGTGAAGTTCTTAGCTTGAAAAATGAAAGTATAAGTTGTGAAATAGGATTAAATTGGATGTGGAATTAGAGGAGCAAAGAACAATACTGGAAGATGAACAATGCTGTGAGTAGTAGGGTATTGGTTTACAGAAAGTGTGCAGGGGCTGATGGAAATAAGAGAGGGTGATGCAATAAAGGTGAGATACAGTTGAGCAGCTGTGATGTGACAGAAATTGTTTCAAGGAGACCTGAAAGGGGAGGAAGAAGGTCAACAGCTGACAACAAATTCTAGAGGAGAGGAGAAGTTTTGTTAACCACCTTACACATCCCTACATAAAAACTGTTAGATGCATTTATTTACAGGGTTTGTAACGTATCGTTTGCTTTAAGGTTTTGTCATGTAAGAGGCTTGGATTTATTTTCCCAATTGAAATTAGCATTGATCTTATATTTTTCATTAGAAAAAAAATTACAAAATGCTCAGTGTGGAAGGAGATACTTGATAATACAGGTAAACATTTAATGCATTTAATTATTAGAGGGCTGAAGTACAGTTGCAGTGCTTTTTAACCCATAAATGATCAAAAACTGAAATTAGTAATTCAGAATGTATTAAAAGCATCTGCTTAGCTGTCTGTGATACTATGTTGTTAATACCACAGGACAAGACTGTGGTTAAAAAGAAAAAAAACTATGTATTTGGTGATTAGGAATGAAGCAACGAGCATCATTTCTAGGCATGCTTTTTCTAAAAACACATCTGAAAGTTTAGCACTTGAAAGTAGCAAAAATATCTTTTTTTCTTCCTGTAATTACAGAAGCTGCTGGGTTTGTTTTGCTACCGATGAGGATGATCGGACAGCAGAGTGGGTGAGACCTTGCAGGTGCAGGGGCTCTACGAAGTGGGTTCATCAGACTTGTCTACAGCGCTGGGTGGATGAAAAGCAAAGAGGAAACAGTACTGCTAGAGTTGCTTGTCCTCAGTGCAATGCAGAATATTTAATAGTATTTCCAAAGCTAGGTAAGATGTGTATCATTTTAATCATAATATAATGGGTTGTTTCTGTACATTGTTCCTAATTCTTCGCTTTTTTTTTAATGCTTGGAGCCTCTGTTTTCTTGACAACCTTGAGCTGAAAAAATTAAGCTCAAAGGAAATTTCTGAGTAACAATGCATATTGCTAAGAGGGAAGAAAACTGGCTAGTATGTTGTCCATGGTCAAGAAAATGTAAAACAGCATGATAACTCGTTAGGAAGTCATTGATTTATCAGTCCTTGAGTCACTTTTGTTATAAGGCAGCTATGAAGAAGGCATCAAATGTTGATAATTAGCTTTACTTTTGGTGTGTGGGGTTGATATCTGGACAATGAAGATATACTGCAAAACATGAAGGTTTTGGCAGTGGGCAGAAGAAGTGCCTGTACTTTGGTTAAGATGCATGCACAGGGGAAAAAAAAAAAAGGCTTTTTCATTTGTTCCTGCAATTTGTGGCTTCCTTTGTTTGAATGCTAAGGTGCCTAAATACTAATGTTCCTAGCTTCTGATAAATCTGGCATAAAATTCTTGCATGATTCTGTTCAGGTCTTGCATGCAGGCATCTTTTGATATGTTTTCTCTCTCCATACTAGCTTTTTCCATGGTAAAGGTACGAGGGAGGCATAAAATATAACATGGCATATGTAATTTTACACAAGTCTACAGTAGACCAGGAAAATGATTTTTGGGTTCATCAAACCTCCATTGTGACCTCAGGTCCTTCAAGCACATGGGGCAGTTGTGCCCTTTTGCAGCTCTTTTTTGTAACCCAGAACTGTTACATCAGAACTCTACTGTAAGTCAATCAAGGTCCCACAAGGCAAAGTTAAGACAGTAAGATTTCAAGCAGTCTTAGCAGTAGCCCCTTCTCGTGTTGCAGCAAACACATCACTTGTCATGCCATTCAAAAAACTAAAGTTGCTTGAGCAGGTAAGATATAGCAGCTAACCACGTTTCCATGACATATCCTGGTTTACAAACATAATCTATGTTAAGACTCTTCTAATGTACTGCTGGAAAAAGGTTTCCATGAAAGAGTACTTTCTAAAAACTCCTCCTAGTGAAGTATCTCCTTTTTTGTTGTTGTTTTTTAAATACTAAAAGAACTGCTTAAAACCCAGAGGTTTCATTATTATTATTTTATTTTAATAAATAGGAAAACCAAACTTGGCAGACAAACTTCTACTAAAGCATGATTAACACATGAAACGTGAAAAATATTGCTGTATTTTGTTCTTTCATGTATGTCAGATTTTTTCATTTTTGTACTTCTTTAATATCATCTTAAAAGATATGTTTTGCCTTTCTTTCTTACTATTTTCACCCTAGAGGGATAATTAAAGTTTAGTGGAACTTTTTTTTTTTTTTTTTTTTTTTTTTTTTTTTTAGCTCAAAATTCTGTACTGTGCTTCCTTTCATGATTGGGATCAGTGGGTGCAATCTGTTAATATTTTATCTTAGACTTCTGCTGTTGCCGTACCACCTTGCCAAGTTACCTTTCAGGACTTGCAGCATATGATGATTATACGTGGCTTTTTGGGGAGTTGTGGTGATGCTTTTTTTGGGGGGGGGGGCGGAGAGGGGAAGGTTGTGGAGAAGTCTCTTGTCTTTACCTCCTTCAATAGAATGATGTAAATTTTCCAAATAGTGCACTGAACTTTGTCAGCGACTATAGGAAGCTATCAAGATATGCCAATGACTGTGTATTTAGCACTTGCAGTTATGACCTTGTTGCTATTTCAATATGCTCATAAATATTTCAGCAATCTTTTAAATTTGTCCTGGAAAGTTGAACATAATTGTTAATACAGTTGAACTGGTTGTTCAATGAATTTATATTTTGAGTGAAGCATTCCTTCAAAAAACCACTAAATTTCATTCCTATTCAACAATAAGTTGCTCAACTTGAGAGTACATTAACTCTGTAACTTTGTCAGCTACTGAATGACTAATTTACATCAATTGGTGTATTTGAAGCAGGGTGCTGATGAGGTGTTTTCTGTTGCGAAGGAAGAAGATTCCCGCCCTTAAAACTAGGACTTTTTATCCAAACAGCACATTCTGTTCTAGAAGATGCATGGAAGGGTAACTAACTTACAGTATATTAGTAGGGTAAAACATGATTCTGCGCCAGAGCTGGACTAAGAGGCTAATCAACATTCTGCCCAAGTTAGTTACACAAAACTGTCTACTAGATTGTTACATAGCTTAGCCTTATTTACAATTACTTATGTCAAGTCTACATATAAGCTAGATATGTTTGAATTGTGAGTCTTCAGTATGATACATGCACAAACACCAGTTAAAAGTTGCAGTCCCTGCATCAGGTCTCTGGATAGTGTTACCATACAACTGGTGTACGAAATATTGCTCTGCGTCTGGGAGTGCTTTTCTAGAATGTCAGTGCTGATAAATATTACTACTAGTTCACTGAGATGTCCCTGTTACTTGTTTTCATTGGCTGGCTTCAGCTGACTAGAATTGGTGTTGCTATTGAGTGGTTGTGTTTTTTATTGGTTGGTATTTTTGTTTTTGTTTTTTTGAAAGCACACCCACTGTTCTCTTGCAGAGCCAACTAAATCATGGAATGGGAATCAATTTTGTCAGGAATAAAAGTATGCAAAAAAAGTAGTCACCAACTGTTTACTTTCTGACAACACATGTAATATCCTAAAGAGTTTGTTGTAAAACACAAAAATGAAATTGCTGCTGTTCTGATACTGGCAAACACAAAAGTAGCATGGATCATGGTCATAGTGGTAGCTACTTTTCAGTTCCATGCATACTTTTCAGACTCTTCAGCTTGTGGCTTTTGCTTTGCTGGTTCTCTTGCAGTCTTCAAAAGAAAAGATGTGAGTATGCCCTGCTTATCAAAGTTGGCATGAGTAATGTGTTGCTGTGTGCAAGTCTTGAAAGTGGAGTTGTCAATAAACAGTGAAACTGTATTATCAACAGCTCTAAATGAAAAGAATTTTTTTCCTCCAATATTTGAGGTAGCCCTAAAAATATTGAGTGCAACCTATCGCTTTTCCAGTGGAATGAATCTTTGCTTTTTTTTGCTCTAGAGTGGGATAAAGTTTAGTGACAGCTTTCTTGTGACAGTTGCTGAGAGCTTTCTTCAGTATGCTTATAGCTGCATCTTGAAACCTTACTTTTCCTCTGTCATAGGTCCAGTTGTTTACGTTTTGGATCTTGCAGATCGACTGATCTCAAAGGCATGTCCATTTGCTGCAGCTGGAATAATGGTGGGCTCCATATACTGGACAGCAGTTACATATGGAGCTGTGACAGTGATGCAGGTACATGTCTATTTCCTCTTCCAGATCTTACAAGCCTTGAAAGCAAGGCTTTTAAATTAAAAAAAATAAGACTCCTTTCTTCCCTTAGCTTAAAATGTGGCTGTATGGTATTTGGTTCTGTTTGTATAGGAACTTGTAGCAAAAGTATAACCATTTTAACTTGAGCCCAAATGAGTGTATGCAGTCTCCCTGCTACCAGTGTCAAATGGCTATATAGGAGTGATATAAAATGACTTACAAGACCTCCTCCATTCCGGTGGATGACACTCCCAACTACAGAATTGAACACCTATGAATTTCCTCATCTCACATCCTGTTCTTGTAGCCCTTACAAGGGCACTGCAGGCATCTGTAGGGATAAAACTGGAATTTAGTGAAATGTACTAATCCTTATCTCTCTGAAAACTGCTACACTGAGCCTTTTTCTGTAGTAACTTGTATGATCTTTTATAGCTTCTCTAGAACTACATAACAAAATGGAAAACTAAACACTCCTTTCTATGGTTGCTTTACTTTTGAAATGAGAATCTGGCCTTAAGCAAAGGCAAGCTGTGGGTCTAGTTAAGCAACTGCGTGGTTACAACTTCACACCCATGTTGCTATAAATACCTGGCTAAATCCTAGGTTTGAAGAATTAGATTTTTTTCCTCTGGTTGCACACAGTGTGATCTCTCTTACATAGAGGATTCCTAATTATGAGATTTGTAATTAAAACATCCTGAAATACAATTTATCCTTTAAAGAGGAAGATCTAATCAATTTGACTATAGAATTAATCATTCAAAAATTTAAGTTTTTGTGTGCATTGTAGAAAGCTTTCTGTTTTCATACTTCAGATGTTTATGCTTCTACTCATGCATGCAGAAAGACATGAAACTTTTGCTGAGATGGTGAAGAATTGTGTTACAGGTTTCTGTTGCAAGATTAATGACACTCACACTAGGGCAAGAAGCTCACTTGTCTGCATTATGCTTGATAAACAGCCAAGGATGCAAAAGGAAGACTGAGTACATCAGTTGAAAGGTTTTTTATTATCTTAAAATGCATGGTCGGTCCCTCCCCAAAGCAAACTTTTAAAATTGTATTTCTTGTTTGTCCACTATATACATATTTATCAGGTGGTTGGTCACAAAGAAGGTCTTGATGTTATGGAGAGAGCTGATCCTTTATTTCTTTTGATTGGACTTCCCACTATCCCAGTCATGCTAATACTGGGCAAGATGATTCGCTGGGAGGACTATGTGCTCAGACTGTGGCGCAAATATTCCAATAAGCTACAAATTTTGAACAGCATATTTCCAGGTAAGGTGCATTAATTTTAAAAGGAAATACCAAGTTTGAGTTTCTCTGTCTAGGAGACAGGGATATGAATTTTTACCTTAAGTATGGGTACTTATACTTTCCCTCTATTATGTTTGTTTTATTTTGATTGTGCTCATACAGTACCTAGTGAGGCAGATGGGGCAGCAGAAGCAGGAATGTGGTTTCAAGTAAGGCTTTGGTAATGAAAGAAGCTACTAAATATAACAGTTTCTCATTTGAAAGTAGAAATGAATATAGTCCCTTAATTGAAATGGAATATCTGCTGAAAAGAGGGTGAGTTATCAAAGTAATTAAACTGAATATCTATGCTGATGCACTGTATATTTATAATGAAGCTGAGGAGGGCAGGACTAGTTCCTCCGATGTTCTCTTTGAGGCAGTGGCTACATTCTCTCCTCTTCTGCTCTCATCCCTTCAGGCATTGGTTGTCCTGTTCCTCGTATTCCAGCAGAGGCCAACCCGTTGGCCGATCATGTCTCTGCTACACGTATTCTGTGTGGAGCTCTGGTTTTCCCTACTATTGCCACAATAGTGGGCAAGCTGATGTTCAGCAGTGTTAACTCAAATTTACAAAGGACAATCTTGGTAAGACACTTTATTTTTTGCTATACAAATAGTTATATAGGATTGTAAAGTGCTGTGGAGTGGGAGGAAACTAAAAAGTGTAAATTGAACCAGAACTTAAGAGTGGCATTTGATTAAGGGTAGAGGAGATTTCCTGAAGTTGTCTGCCTTGGCAGTGGGTGAGATTACATGTGAGAGACTTTTTTTTCCCCTATGACTGAAAGTAACTGGAAAAGGCTGAAACCTGTGTCTGGTACTGTGCTAAGCAAATGTTACCAGTAGATGGACAATCAGTATTTTCTAAGAACAGGCTCTGCAAGTGAGAACTAGCGCTAGAAACTAGAGAACTATCAGCCTTTTCAGATTAGCTTCTGTTGACTCCTTGGAAGAGTCAATTTATTGAAATAAGAGTAAAAAGATGTATTTCTTACACTTTAAATGAAGGCAGAAGAATGGTAGATGAGAAAAATCTCCTTTGTGAATAACCTCTCAGGCTTGCAGCTTTTCAAGAGGAAGCAGATTGAGTTTCATGAACTGCATCCCTGGTAGATGTGACTGTCACTTCAGTCTTTTTTTTCCCAATTCTAGCAAGTGGAAGAAACAGCAGTTACAACCATTCACTCAGGCTAAAGGTTTCTTAGTGTTTCTCCTTTACTTTGAAGACTTGAGATGAACACAGGGTAAAACTATAAAAATAATAAATTGTCTTTCTTTCACCTTATGCTTGTTTTTAGCAAGTACCCTCTAGCACAGTCTGTTTATGGAATGGTAAAAAACATTATTGTTTATGCCATCTATAATTATTCAGAGAAGGGGAAAAAAGCAGATAAATAACTGTTTGACATAAGTTTTTGAAATAGAATAATAGACTTTTAGAATATGTGTTGAACTCCCAAGGAGATGAAAGTTTTAAAATACCTGTAGGTCTACTTTGTAATTCCTAAATATGTAACTTGAACCTTTGCAATGCTATATTGTGACAGAAAGCTGTTATAATCATTTGGAATTGTCCTAATTAGCTAACTTGAAAAGAAAAAGCTGTTTGATTAGAAAGTACACCCTATTAAGTAAGTTTTCTTTTACAGAGAACATTTGCAATGATAAGATGCTGAACTTTGCAGGCTTTCAAAATCTCTTTTTATTTCAGGGTGGAATTGCTTTTGTTGCTATAAAAGGAGCTTTTAAGGTTTACTTCAAACAACAGCAGTATTTGCGCCAAGCTCACCGCAAAATTTTAAATTATCCTGAGCAAGAAGGTGCATAAGGCTGTGATCATCTGATGTCATACAGTCTCACCTAACAGGTTTTCATGTTGTATTGGTTCCATCATTATTGCACAGTAGTGGAGAATTGTGATAAGTTGCTGCTCCTGTTTTTTTCTTTAAGTACAATAAAGCACTGTCTTGTGGCAGGGTATATCCTTTCAGTAATCACTGAACCTAAGAATGTGACTTGCTTTCATTGTTTTGGAGTATTTCTCTTGAGCAACAGGCTTTGGAATTACTTTCTTTGAGCCGATTTGCTGAATGGGTGGGGAAAAAAAATCACCAACTACACAACAAAAACGCTTCAAATTGTGTAGTTAATAGAGGCCGTGTTCAGATGCTTTTTCTAATAGTGTGTTTTCATACCCAGGCTGTCATCCATTTCAGTACTTCACACAATGAAGGTTGTTTTGTTTGTTTGTTTGTTTTTAAGGAAGGAAATGAGTCATTACTAAGGGAAAGTAATTGTGGGACATCAGGCAATAAAGGTTTTCTTGTATCTTGCTGGAGTGGAACAGGGAGTGCACAGTACACAAATGGCTGGACAGAGAAAAAGATAGATCATTCTACAGGACTGGTGTGTCAGCTTTAGCCACCTAAGTACAAGCTTTTGAAATGAGCGTGGCTTCCAGGTGACTGTTGTATTACTGATACTTTTTATTGTCCTGTTGTATCTTCTGCAATGCCTACTGTTTTCTCATGGCTTTTTTTTTTTTTTTTTTTTTGACTGGTTTGTAACTGGTACTAGATAGCTTTCTTTTTTCTTCACAGCAAAATAATGACATGGGGGAAGTGAATTTCAATTACTTTCTACTTACGTATTAGAGCAATTGTTTAGTTCTCATGTTCCTTTTGATTATGTTAGTTATCTGTACAAGTAAAAAGAGTAGGAAAAATATGAGGAAACAATGAATGCTAAAGTTACATTTCGAAGAAAGCTCTAGTTTTCAGTTTCAACTTCAGATCTGGGGGCACGGCTCAGCTCCTGTATCTGGACAAGTCTTTTCTCTGCCCACGCCATCTGTATTGGCAGGATAGCCAGGAACAACAGCTGGAAAGAAAGGGCAATGCTACACTGGAGGACTGAATTTAAGACATTACCAGCAGTATAGACAGCTGAATGCAACTTGGTTCTGTTCTGTAAAGGACTAAGGACAAATCTTAAATGTGTAATAAACTAAGTTAGTTGATTTGCACAGTCAGCTTTACTGTTATAACATGTTCCAAGTAGCCTGCTGATGGGGACACTGGCACTTCAGTTATTTCAGATATTTAAAAACTTAACAGAAATTAACTTTTCCAAAGTTACATTTTGACAAATATAACATGGCCGTTTAATATTCCTATCAGATCTAACCTCCAGTTAGTACTGGAAGTTCTCTTTACAACAATTTGTTGCTCTCAAAAGGTTTTTTCTTCTTCATCATAGGATGTCAAATGCATGGAGACAGGTTTAAAAAAAATAAAAAATAAAAAAATTAGTGGAAGTACTCATAAGTAACTATTTCTTTTCACCAGAAATGAAGGAAATGAGAGATTTGACTGCAATAATGTATGTTAAAAAAAACCTTGAAATATGGTACCTTTTCTATAGTATATTTGTCTTAAATACTGAGATGTAATATTTTAGAACTGTATAAAGTGTATATAATGGCCACCTACGATTCAAAAACTACAGTATAGAAAATTATACGTTTGATCCATGTCAAATACTTTGAGATTCGTAACTGAAACTCTGAGCTGTAACTGAAGAATTGCTACCATCTTGCAAGTCTGCTGATTATATTTGTCTTTGAGTGGGCTCAATTTTATATAAACTTTAGATAGAGTGGCAACCTTGAAAAGTTGCTGCTTCATGTAAGATAGCCTTGAAACATATACATATTTCTTATGGAATTCCTCATTTTGAGAAAACAGCTTTTCAGTGGTCTTCACTGTATATATTTCCAGGCAATTTATTACTGTTTTTTAAAGTCTCATGAAGAATGGAAGGATGCAAATTACCAGTCTTGAAACTTGTTCTATGGGAAGAGATAATTGTCTTCACTGAAACTTGAAGCTACTGTAAAAATATCATTACGGAAACACTGTTTGGATTATATGATGATTAAAGTGGTGGCAGAAAGTCATTACTTTGGTTACTATGTTGTAAATCTTGTTTTTAGTATTACGAATTACAGTTATGTTGAATTAGGCTGAATAAATATTTTTTACGCTCTGTAGTGTATTTTGTCAGTTGAACAGAAGCCAACAACAACGGAATGTGTTTTAATGTGTATCTGAGGAGTTATACAATCAATTTTAAGTTGATAGGTCAAAGAAATATCTTGCAGTAAAGGAAAAATGACTGAGACTTCAACCTTACACTTCAAATTTACTATCCGTTGTTTTTTTTTTCCCTTGCTTGTTTATGATTAGTGAACGAGATGATGGAATGCATTTGTCAAGCATTTAAAGCAAAACATTGTTGCAACGTGACAGAGCTCTGTTAATACAGAATTGTGATTGGGAGTTGTTAGGTAACTCTGGGTTGGCTGATGTGCCAGCTTTATTGGGGAATACAGTGATGGCTCTTCATTTTGAAAGGTAATACTGACTTTAGGAATGATTTTTTTTCACTAATGGTTAATGTTCTGATACCTTCACAGAAGGAGCATTAAATGTAATGTAGCATTTCTCAATGCAATATAAGAGTTCTCAACCATTCTTATCCAAAATTTGTCTTTTTCCCCCCCCCCCCGTTGGGGGAGGGGGGGAGCTACAATTACGGTAATGCATTAGGAATGATTCTCCCCTTCTCACTCATTTTCCATCTTAAATTGTTAGATTTAAAAGGATCTCTACATTTGTTTGAATGGTTTTTCTTTTGTTTGTTCTCTTTCCCCTGTAAAAGTTCCCATTTGCAACAGTTTCTTTGAGCTGCCTGTTTTGAATTACACTAATTCCCTCATCTCCTGTGTTTTGTTTTTTTTTTTCTCTAAAGGTAGCTGTCTCCTTTGACTTATCAGTCAGGGATCTATGTTGCTATGTGGGGCCCCACTCCAGGGAAGCATTTGGAATAGTTCTGTGCTTGCTTGAATATGTAGGTAGGTATTGTTGACTACAGTATTAGCCATCTTTGAGGGCACCATTCTATTTGACAAATTTCTGTTGCATGTTTACAGTGGCAGCTGTAACTGAACTGCCATACTGTAAACCTGTTGATTGAAAATGGACGTCTTCTCCCCTGACCTCACATGCTGTGATTGTAGGGGAAAAAACCTGTTTCAGTGCATTCCAGCATAATCTGGGGAAATCAGAATTTAGTTGTCTCAGTTCTCGTAGACATTGAGGCCTAGACTTTTCTTTGCTGCTGTTTAGCAGGTTCCGCTACTGGAGAAGTACCTGTGCCAGAGGTTGCCCAGGATTTCAACTACTTAAGTTCTTTCTGCTTACTGATTTATACTACTCTAAAGTAGACTTTCTTAGTTTATTTCAAGGGCTTATTCAAGAGCTTGAGTATGGTAGCTTGCTTCCCAGAAATGCAAGTCAAAAGATGTGTGCAAAGAGTATATTGCAAGTGGGGGGGAAAAAAATCTTGTGTTGAGAAATGTTCTGTAAACAGGGACCAATCATATCCATTAGATCATGGCCCCCTGTACTTGAAATTTAAGGTGTGTGGCCTTTTTGTTCTTGCCTGTTATTTACTCCTGTGCTTGGTTTATTTAATTTCTTTTGCACCTCTGCATATTATAAGCACAAAGGAGTTATTTCTGGTTGTACCACAATAAGTACTTCAGTAGAAAAATTCCATTCTGGAACCAGTGAAAGCAAATAGCAGTCATGACTTGAAACTGCCTCAACTAAACAGCTCAGCAGCACCTGTCAAAACATATCTTGCAGGCACCTCATTTAATGCTGGATGACTAAGCCATGGAAAAGCAATTGCCTAAGCAGTGGGCCTCTATAGGAAGTACTTTGTTTATTTAGAAAAAAAAAAAATTATGCAACTTTATTTCCACCTACAGAGCACTACTGGTGATGCAGTATGCATAGCGGACTGCTTTGTATTTTTTTAGTTGTTCTTCCACTCTTCAGTGACATTTTGCTGCAGCTAACAGAAGCCAATAGAGGAACACGCTTCTCTATTTACCATATGTGTGATTTGGGGAGTAGTTGCCATTGCTTTGCCATGGGTCATAACAAGAAGCTAATATCCCTACTTGGTGTACCTCTGGAAGAGCCTTCTGATACTAGTTTTCCAGACATTTCTGATGCTCAGAAGATAGAAGAGCTAAGATAGCCTGGAATCAAAAGCTTCTTGATTTTTGTTCACAATTAAGGCTTTTTCCTTTTCCAGCAGAATCATATCTGGTTCAGAAGCATTTGACTAATTTGAAAGAAGAAAATCTCTACCACCTTACATCCCTTGCATAGTTCTAGGCTAAGATCCCAGGGATAATTGGGTTTGTCACAAGTGATAGTGTGAGGTGTTACTTGGGCACAAATTGTGTGCATTATTCTGTTTCAGATAACAAGAGTACAATGCAGGAGGACAGTCCTCCAGTATATTTGCTTTTCAACTTTAGGGATTTATTTTCTTAATTTAAGACAGATGTTAATTAAATACATATGGTAACAAGTCCCTCTGGGTGAGTGAGGTTGCAGAAGTTCTATGGAACACAAAGTGCATGATGAAAGCCTTTTGGAGAGAGGGAACTGAAGGAATAAAAACCAGAGCGTCATTTCTAGAGATGGGTCCAAGTCTGTTCATTAAGTCAAAAGGGCATTTTTTCCTAAGTCCCCTCAGTACTGAGCTATGAACATTAGTGCATTTCTCACCATCAGTACGCTAGCAGTTATTTTCTCTGCAGAGAGAGACAGTCTCTGCAGTCAATAGAAAACAATAGCAACAACAGAGAACTGTTGCTAATGTGTAAGGATAATTCAGTCTGAATTTCATCAAAAGTTTCAGATCTGTCTTAGGTCCTTTAGTGCCTTTTAATTGTGAGGCTATGGCTTTTCATTCTGTTAGTGGCTTTTTTTGGGGAAAAAAGGTATCTTTTAACTGCAGGATTCTATAACCATACCTCCCCCCCCCGAGTGCTGTTAAATTTCAAGGTACTATAAAAATGAAAATGTTTTCTACTTAACATAAATTAAAGGCTGTAACTAGCCTTCCCCCA